AAGTGGAGAGAAAATGTTTTGAGAAACGATGTACAAATGTGCTTTACACAATTGATGTGTGTATGGATTGGGATAACAGTTGTATGAGCCCCTAAGAAAATGTTAAGAAAATAAATAAATTAAATTAAATTAAAAAAAAAAAAAAGAGATCAGAAGATGTGTTGGATTGGGTAAATCTGCTGCACAAGACCTCTTTAGAGAGTGAAAAGCGGAGATGTTATTTTGAGGACTAAGGTACACCTGACCCACCTGTCATGGTATTTTCAATTTCCTCGTATGCATGTGAAAGTTGGGCATTGATTAAGGAAGACTTGTGCTGCTGGTGAAGAGTACTGAAAGTACCATGGACTGCCAAAAGGACAAACAAGTCTGTCTTGGAAGAAGCCAACTCTAAGAAGAGTGCTCCTTAAAGGCAAGAGTGGTGAGACTTTGTCTCACATACTTTGGACATGTTGTCAGGAGAGACCAGTCCCTGGAGAGGGACTGGTAGGACAGAGTAGAACAACCCCATTGGATTTCCAAGGTTATTAATCTTTAGAAAGCAGGCTACTTCATCTTTCTCCTGTGGAAGCAGCTGGTGGATATGAACTGCCCACCTTTCAGTTAGCAGCTAAGCACTTATGTAATCACTATACCACCAGGGCTCCTTCATTCATCATGTACTCGCTGCCTGCTGTTGGACCAGTTCTGACTCATAGTGATCCTCTACGACAGAGTTGAACTGCCCCTGTGGGCTGCCAAGGCTGTCAATATTTATAGGAACAGAAGGCCTCATCTTTCTCACCTGGACCAGCTGACAGTCTCGAACTGCAGACCATGGGATTAGCAGCCCAGTGCATAATCCACTGTATCACCAGCGCTGATTGATCATTAGGGAAATGAAAATCAACACCACAAGGAGATACAACTTCACACCACAAGCATGGCTAGAATCAAAAAATACTAACAAAATGTAGGAGAGCATGTGGGCAAATCAGAACCCTCATACACTGCTGATATGAATGTGAGATGCTGCCTCAACTGATCAAACATAGCGTTACCACATGACAAGCGGTTCCACTTCTTGCTATATACCCTAGAGAAATTAGAGCATGTCTCCACACAGAAACCTGTACACAAATACTTAAAGCCACTTCATTCATAATACCCAACATGGGAACAATTCAAGGGTCCATCAACTGATACATCTGTAAATGAAACATGGTACATCCATACAGTGGACTGTGCTGCCATAAAAAGAGTGACGTACTGCACCATGAAGGACCTTTCAAACGTTATGCCACGTCAAAGAAGCCAGTCAAAATGGACCTCGTGGTGTATAGCAATGTCCAGGATTGGCAAATCCACGGACACATGAAATAGTTCAGTGATTGCCAGTGGTTAAGGGGAGGGGAATAGAGACTGTTAGTGGGTAAAGGGTTTCTCTCTAGAGTAATGAAAATGTTCTAGAATTATTAGATAATGATGATTATGCAACATTGTTTATATTATTAAAGCACTGAATTTTATACTTTAAAGGGTCTGATTTTGTGGTATTTGAATAATGTACCAATAGTACCTTTTCCCAAAAAGGGATTGTATGTAAACTTACCCATATTTCCTTATTGTTAACGAAAGTTCCCTGACCTGCACTGTGCTTCCTGTTCTCTGCCCCTTCCCCCTCTTCCCGTCTTCCTCCTGCACAGATGCAGAGGTAGCCTCTTCCACTGCAGCCCAGGCAGACAGTCAAATGTAAATGCTTAATAAATGTTAGCTATTGCGGTGTGCTGACCCAAGCCATCGTGATTTCAGTGGCCTCATATTGCATGTGAAAGCCGGACAGTGAATAAGGAAGACCACAGAAGAATGGATGCGCCTGAATTAGGGCGTTGGCAAAGAATGAAAATACACCATGGACTGCCAAAGCATAAATAAATCTGTGTGGGAAGAATACTCCTCAGAAGGCTGGATGTTGAGGCTTCTCGCGTACTTTAGACGTGTAATTAGGAGAGGCCAATTCCTGGAGGAGGACATCATACTTGGTAAAGGAGAGGAAAACCCTCAGGGAGATGGATTAGCACCCTGGCTGCAACAATAGGCTCAAATATAACCGCGGTGAGGTTGGCGCCAGGCCATATTTCATTGGGTTGTACAGAGAATGGCTGTCGATGAGTTGGAGCTGACTTGATGACAACCTCACACACGCATACACACATACACGTTTCTAGTAAGTTTATGGGTTCCTTGAAAACAGAGACCTTTAATTCATAACCATTTTGATTCCTGGCAAACATGTTTTCACAGACTGGAATTTTAAAACATTGATTTTTACTGCCCTTCGGCAAGCAGTGGGTGGGTGCGTACTCTAGCCTGGCCTTCTGCTGACTCAGCCTTGTCTGTGGGTTTACTTTCCCCAGTCTGCTCCTTCTAAAGACTTCTTTTCCTCTCTGCAGTGCTTCCCTAACAAGAAAAAAGCTGAAGAAAGACTAATCCACTGTTTAACTTTCCATTTGACACATGTACTGAGCATCTCCTGTGTGCAGGGAACGGCTTCTTCTGTTTCTGTCCTCTATTGCTAGGAGTGCCTCTGGGGCGGGACCAGATTTGATTCCTCTGTATCCCCTGGCCCCGCTCATTCAGTGTTTGCCAAATTGAATGGGATGGATTGGTTTTTGAAGAGGAAAGCAAGACACCCTTGGTGACTATGGGAGGGCAGAGTAGCCTTTTCTCTGTGGCTGCAAAGCCTCTTAGATGTTTGATACGGGATTATCAGCCACAGACACTCAAAAGTAGGAAGGAAAATGCAAGCTGTTTGTCATATTCAGAGTTTTGTCTTCAAATCACTGGAACTAATGATTAGAGGAAATGCTACACACACACACACATACACACACACACACACACACACATTCTAACATCTACCATTGTAATGGACATGGAACTGTGGATTGGCATAACCAGGTTGCTGATGATGGCAACATGACAGAGGGCACGGCTGACTATGTATGGCAGGAAATACCCGGTGATAAGAGAGTATTCAAGTATTTGATGCATTTGTTTCCCTATTCAGTTGTATTTGTGTACAGCACTGCTCCATGTCAGTAGCATGTTTGTGCACATGTGTGCATGCTATATGTAGGAGCCCAAATACCCTCTACAACTATATCAGAAAAGGCTAAGAACTGGCTTCCCAGAGTTGCTTGATCTGTTTTCTCATTGGTCTACCATCTTTTGGATTTGTACTGTCAAGTATGTCCACGAACATTCCTCACACTACAAGTGAAACCCTGAAACAGGGAGGGTGGGCAGCATAGTGGTTACACACCAGGCTACTCACCACAAGGTCGGCGGCACTTTGGAACCACCAGCCATTCCGAGGGAGAAAGATGGGGCGTACTACAGTCTTGGAGAGTTACGGTCTCGTGTGAGTTCCAGAATAGGCCCATCTAGAGGGACAGGAACTAGATGAATGGTTTCTTGGCATTATGGCAGGGGAGGCTTGGGAGGTGGGGGGAGGAGGGGAGTGAAGCTTATAATAAGGAGTATAAGAAAGAAGAACATGTTCTAAAATTGATTGTCGTGATGATTGCACAATTGTTCTTGATATGGTTGAACTATATATGATAGATGGATTAAATGCCAATAAAACTGTTTAGAAATGAGTTTCCGTCTCAGAAACCCACGGGGGCAGTCCTACCTTGTTTTAAAAGCTCACTGTGAGTCGGTATCAAGTTAATGGCAGTGAGTGGGTGGGGAAGCCACCTTCACAAGGAGCTCCGACTTCGAAGTGGGTTATGAGTTAGACTGCGAGCCACAAGCCTAGCAATTTGAACCCCCCAGCTCCTCCATCAATATTCATCGCTGAGACACCCAAGGGGACAGTCCTACGGTTTCCTGTAGGGTCACATGAGTCCGAATGGACTTGATGGCTGTGGGAAGCTATTTGCAGGAAAGGACCCTACTGATCGATCCCTCATGGACCCTCTGACTGTTTCACTTCTCCTCCAGGAGCCAACCCCCTGCAGAGGAATGAAATGGGTCACACAGCCCTGGATTATGCCAGAGAAGGGGAGGTGATGAAGCTTTTGAGGGCTTCTGAAGCCAAGGTAAGTCTCATCAGAAACAGGAGGGGGCATGTGGGCACACTCTGCATCCTGGAGTCTCTCACTCATTATGCCAGGCTCCGTACCAGATGTCACGTCTTCTGAAGTGATTCTTCTCTGTCTAATTGAATCTGAGTCCCAGGTTAGTCAAGAATGGGAAGCTGCCCTGTTAGGACCAGGGAGAGGCCTGACCCATTTGTGCCTTTAAAGATTAACTTTAGAATTCAGCTTTTGAGGTGATGGGCTTCCCAGCCCCTGTCCATAGTATTTCCCATAGGCTCCTGTATTCTATAGCCTCCTCAAGCAAGCAATTGTTAGCACTTCTAGAACCATTCTCTGAGCCACCACCCCACCCCCCAACACTCAGGAAGCCCTAGTCTGGTATCTGAAATTCTGGTCTCACCAAAAACCATCAACATCTCAATTTTGAACCTCTCAGTCAAACTTTTTTTTTTTTAATTTAAGGAGAACATTTAATAAGTCTTAAGAGGGACAAAGACTTATCTGAATGAGGGAGTCCATTAGCATGAGGTTATTAGGGCACCCAAGGGTTTGCTGAGATACAGAGTTTTATTTATTTATTTAATCATTTTATTGGGGGCTCGTACAACTCTTATCACAATCCATACATACATCCATTGTGTCAAGCACATTTGTACATTTGTTGCCATCATTTTCAAAATATTTTCTTTCTATTTGAGCCCTTGGTATCAACTCTTCATTTTTTCCCTTTCTTCCCCGACCCTCCCTCTCTCATGAACCCTTGATAATTTATAAATTATTATTTTTTCATGTTTTACACTGACCAATGTCTCCCTTCATCAACTTTTCTGTTGTCCCTCCCCCAGGGAGAGAGTTATATATAGATCATTGTGATCGGTTCCCCCTTCCTCCCCCTGGTATGGCCACTCTCAATATTGATTCTAAGGGGTTTATCTGTCCTGGATTCCCTGTGTTTCCATGCACGTGTTCTGGTCTAGCCGGGTTTGTAAGGTAAAATTGGTGTCATGATAATGGGGAGCGGGGGAAGCATTAAAGAACTAGAGGCAAGTTATAAGTTTCATCGGTGCTACACTGCATCCTGTCAGTCAAACTTTTAAACTCTCTGAAAACAGGCTGTCTCCTGCTTCCCCTATCCACAGAACTGTAACTCAAGAGATAACAAGAATTAAACAGAATCCAAGAACTAGTATCCCATATCTCAGAACCAGCGGGGAGCTTAGAAGTCATCAACTCTAGAAATTGGAAATCTTACCAAAGCATTAACAAATCAGAGGGAAATAGTGTTCTGGTTGAAGAGGAAGGAGGCCAGAGACCCACCCCTGAGGCCCGTCCTTCCTTTTGGGTAGCCTCGGAGGGCGCTCTTCTGTGGACCACAGGTTTTAGATAGCTGAATCTTTGATCAATTGACTTGGGGAAACTGGAGCCCAGAGGTGGGATGTGGCTTATTCTTGGCCCCAGAGTAAAGCACATCAAATTTGAAACGGAGAGGATTGAGCACAAGGTCACGTGGTGGGGTCAGGGGCAGCACTGGGCTGGGGAAAGCTCCTCTCTGATTCCTAGTCTTGCGTTCTTTCCAGCCTCATGGAGTCTCTTGTCAGTCCGTTGGCTAAAGTGCCTGGAGATTATTCAGTGTGGCAGGTCCCACCTAGTGGCAAACATTCCCTGTGTTTTGAGTGAGAGCACGGCGCTCCCTGGACTGAGACCGAGAAGGTGTGTGTTCTGCCCCCAGCTCCACCACGACGCACTGACTGACTGACTGACTGACTTTGTGCTAGCACTGCCCCTCAGTGACCCTCTGTTTGCCACTATGAAATGGAAACATTGGACTGCATGGTTTCGACAGAACTGCCTGTGTTAGTCAGGAGGAAGTTGATTATGATGTGATAACAAACAACCCCAAGTATCAGCGATTTAAAACAACAGAGATTGGTTTTGTCCTTTGCTATGTATCTTTTGCAGGCTGGCAGGGTGTCAGGGCTAGGCTGTGCTCATCATAGGCACACGAGGACCCCAACTGACAGCAGCCACATCTAGCGTGTCACCAGTTGCTTCCAGAGGAAAAAGAATGGTCTGGGAGGTTTTGCACATGCAACCAAATGCTTCAACTGGGACCGGAACCATTTACTGCCACTCACATCTCAATGGCCTTGTTCCCACCCAATCACGGATAGGAGAGTGAGAACCCCTACCTTGTGCCTAGGAAGGGAGAACCAGAAATCATTTGGGAGCCAGCATCAGCCATACAGTGTTTGTCTCCGTGGGACCCTTGGTCACTGTCTCAGAGTAGTTTCCTCCAGAGCAAGGAAGGCAGCTGGCTTTCCATGGGACCGGGCGGAACTACTCAATCCAGAGGGCAGGCGCTTGGCTCCCTTCACTCAGGTTTTCCACCTCCGGAAGCAACCCAGAAGTCAGGCCGGATTCCCCAAGCGCCTTGAGGAAATGATCAGAGACTGCTAAGTCGCTGTCCCCTGAGACAAGCACTGATCCTTGTCCAAAAGTACCATGGTTTGTCAGGTGGTGTGACATAGTGCAGGCACTGGTCTGTGTGCAGCACAGGTGGCGGGTGGCACGAGGACTGTTGAGGAAGCTTAAACAAGATAGGATGATGGCTGGTTCAACTCTCCTGTTCAGAGGGAACACATGGCAGTGCTGCCCCTTGTGCCTGTCAGGGCCTGCGTGGAGCACCTTGGGCAGTGGTAGAGCTCTTAGAATCTGCAGAGGAGGGCGATAAGGGTGGCAAGAGGATCTGGATCCCTGTGCCTTCGGGACAGGCTGATGGCCACAGAAACGTCTGGCCTAGAAAGGAGGTGGAGGACCGGCTGTGTGAAAGGGCATGAGAGTCACTCAGTGGCAAAGCTCAGTGCAGGGCCAGGCGCTATCTCTCAGCGGCTGGGGCTGCCTTTGGAAGCCAAAGGACCCCGTAAAGCCAGTCCAGGGACTATGTATGTAGCCTCTCAACTAAACCGCCATTTCAACTGTAGCCAACCTCTGCGCCCAGCCTGGAGTTCCTCCATCCTGAAGGGTCAGCTGTCAGCTAGCATCTCACCCAACTGCTCTGCTGTCCCCGCAGATTCTATCCATGGGATCCAGCCCTTGCTCTGCCTCACATCTACTTGGTCACCCGTGCTTTCTGCTGAGCTTTTTAAAAATGTTCTCCGGGCAGTAATAAACAAACAAAACGTGTCTTCAAAATTGTGAGGCAGAGTTTCCAGGCAGCTGCTTCTCTCTGAGTGGGGCCCTGCAGCTGTAACATAATGGCTCAGCCTGAAGCCTCCTTTCCTGACTCTTTGTCTAGACCTGGGTTCCTGCTGCTCTGATCTTATCTGGCTCCCCTTGTGTTCACAGTGACTCAGCCTCTCACCCTCCCCTCCCCTCTGAAGTCACGTCTTTCTATACTTATAACAGTCATGCGCACCGTTACCGAAAACCTGAAAGTAGTCAAAAGGACACTAAGCAGAACCAAATCATTTGAGTGCATATTTATTCATGGCACCCACCCCTGGCTGTACAGAAGGAAGACAGGAGTAAACCCTCATGAAGTGCACAGTCTGATGGGAAAACAGACAAGTGAAGCGGGAAGGACACCTCTGAGAGGGACCAGGGGACTTAATACAAACGCATTTAGCCCTACTCCCTAGAGAGAACCATTATTAATATTGTTAATAACAATGAATTGTTGTTAATAATAATAACTACCATGTATTGAGGGTATCAGGGCATTATGCCAAGCCTGCTTTTTTCTTCTTTTTATTTTCTCTAATCCTATAGGAACTCTCTGAAGTAGCTGTTATGGCCCCTATTTTATAGATAGAGAAACAGAAGTTATAAGATAGAAAGCAAGTGACTTAGATAAAATCAAGCTATTCTAAGTGATGGTTACAAGGACTTGACCCAGAGCTTTCCTCTTAATGGTCCTGTAATTGCCTTTTCTGGACCATAGTATATGTATTTATATAGACATGCTTTCTTTCTCTTTTTAAACATGGTTGACATCTGACTGTATATTCCAGGCGTCTCACAGGGTTTTCAATCATTAGAATGTAGGGCCTTGGCAGGGACTCTCCCACCATAGGCCCCACAGGCCCCTACTGCACTTGCTGTATCCTTACCTGGCAGATCTTTATATTACCCACTGCAGGTGTTTAACTTAGAATCCTATGTATGTGTTTGGAATGTGCTTTTTTTTTTTTTTCACTTAATACTATTTCCTAACAATGTTCTCATTTTAAAACTTTTCAGAAGCATCGTTTTTTAGATTTCACTTTTTAGTTGTTGAGAATATACACCGCAAAACCTGCCCCAATTTGACGGTTTCACATGTACACTGGGTGACGCTGGTTGGAGCTGTACAGCCGTTCCCTTCCTCCTCTTCTGAGTGAGCATACACACACTGCCCCCCAGGTTCCTGGCTCGTCTCTGCAGTTGCTGCGATCCACGTGATTCCCTGTGCATCGTTCTTAGAAGAGCAGAATGCTCGGGCAGACCTTGTGCACTTCACCACTTGTCTGTTCATGCCCCATACTGTGGGGCAGCCCTTTCTCCCCAGTTAAGCTAAACGACTATTCGCTCTAAGAAGACTTCAAGGGATATCCGTGGTTTAAGGTTTAAAGGCAATTGTTCATCCACCCTCCAACCACAAGCATGATGCTTAATTACATTCTGCCTATAAAATGTGTGTCCCTGACCCGAGAACGTCTTTCAGACTTAAGTGTCCTGAGTGACTTCCTCCTCCCTCCTGGTTCCCTATGCAACAGCTTCATACCTCGCCCCAGCCCCCCTTGAGGGCCGCACAGAGGGCCGATCCCCTGAGCGTGCAGCTAGTCCGGAGGAAGCAGGCATTCTCCCGTAGAACACCCACAGGCTGGCTGGTGCCTGAAGAGCGGTCCACACAGAGTTGGTGGGGCCTTGAGAAGCGGTGGGTCACCTCCAGGCAGATGAGCATGCCAGTTCCGCAGAGGAAGTAGCTTGTGATCTCACTTTGAAGGATTTCAGTAGCTGGA